CGACTGCTATAAATTCAAGCTCTGTTCTTAGACTACACCATGCACTGCTTTTGTAATGCAAATGGAAGGCACAAAGTGTCCCTTTGATAATGTGCAGTCAGGAGACAAAAAAAGCATTCACTGCAACAGTAAAACTAATTCATAAAGCTGAGAGACAATAGGAAAGCATTATGGATATTAAAAAAAATAGTAATTTCTTGTAGATCAACTTGATCATTAATGTAAACAGTTCAAATGCAAAACAGAAGGAGGTTGGGGAAGGGGAGAGACTCAAACGGCTGTGCTGGCTCCTTAGCTAACCCTGGACAAGTTTGAGTAAAGCAAGAATTTTGAGTTCAGCATAAAGTCAATGTACAGTTTGTCACTGGAAGGCTGATCCTTGAGCTTTATTCTGGATACTGAGTTAGGCTGGGTTTCTCTTCAGAAACAAGAAAATCACAGTGTTGGCATTTGTTTTCTTTTTTATTTTGATGTTAAAAAACAGTTAATAAACACTCCTAGGGCATAAATTTTAAGGGGGTGATTTCTCTTCATCACCTCCCAGAGTTTAGCTCAAGGTCATCTCACCTTGGTGCACTACACCGAGCTCCGGAGGAGGCAGAGGGCTGGAGGAAGGGGATAAAAGGGCTTCCGAAATGGTTCTCCCGGCGTGGCCAGCCAAGCCACGGCACTGCCACGACAGGGGCAGCGCTGGATGGGTGCCACAGGCTCCTCCTAGCAGGGCAAGCAGCCTTTCTCTCGGGAATTGCTGCTGTAGGAAAGCTGGGTGGCAGCCGTGGTGTTGAGCCGGTTTGGTGCCGTGAGGAATTAGTAATCTGAGGGGTGAGAAGGACAGGATTATTTTCCCATTTTTCTGGCACCATTATGATGCACTGCTGTCGCAGAAGAGGAGGGGAGGGAGTGCTGTTGATGCCGGGTTACAGATAAGATAAAGTCTGTCACTGTCCTGGCATCCAGCATTTGCTGCCTGGGATGGAAAATTTGAGGAAAGGAGTACATTTGGACAAGGTGTAGCATTAAGAGACAACCTTGGATGCTTTCCTAATGGAGACTTTAGCCACCATCTGTAGTCAAAAGTGATTAAAAAAAAAATCTTATTGTTTTCTTTTCTAAAAATGCTCTCAAGCTGCATTAAAAATGGGCTTTTACTAAGGCTACTGCTCACTAAATACCATTCATAAAACAGTGATGAGAAAATATGATGGAAAGTTAAATTTTTCTCTCTGTCACTTTGATTTCTTTGTTACTGCTAAAATGACTGCTCTGACTCATATTTTGCATAGTTATTTTTACCTTTTCAAATGTTCCTTAACTGTTCATATTACCCTGGGCAAATCCCCCAGGGATAATTTTCATTTGCATGCAGACTTTGATGGTGTTATTAAGCAATCACTTTCTGTACTAAGTCATTATTAAAAGTAATACCACAGAGCCTCAAAAACACATTAATGGTGCCAAACAATCCACATTTCAGTGCTAGATTTATGGAAAGGGAAAAGCACAAGGTCTCATATCATGCAGTGGATGCTGCTCTATAGCTCTGTAGCAGCAGCAGGCTTGATCAGAAAATATCAGAGCCAAATTCAGAGCCCTTATCTGTTGTCGGCCTTATTTCTTTAAATGCCCTTTTTTTGGTTTTGGTTTTGGTTTTTGGGGTTTTTTTAACCTGCCTGCTTCCTACTTGTTTTCCCCCTTGGATTTATCCTTTTCCTCTGGCCTTGGCAAGAAAGCCTGTCTGCAGTCTTCCAGCATACACAAGCTGGGCTGGTTCTGGGAAGGAGGGTCAGCCTTCCCCTCTGTAATCACTGTTTTATGGCTTTCACTGGAGGTGTTAATGCAGATCAAATGGAAAACAGTCCAGCATGAGCGTTACAGCTTCTCATGCTGCCCTGCATACGGTCCCAATCGTTAATTCTGATTATAAGACCTAAAGGTAATTCTGTTTGCTCTCCTAATGCATTGCAGCTCTCCCGGTGGTCCGGTGTCTCTTTTCTCCAATTCCCATCTTGATCAATTGTTTGCAAATAATTAAGCTTTTAAGAGATAATGGTAGGAGCTAATGTACACAACAAAGTAAAGGTCTCAAGTCACTGTTTATTGAGCAGTTTGCCTTGATATCCCAAAGTGATCCAGAGTAATAGGTGGACTTGTCAGCTGGAGTCACTGCAGTGGTTTTAGTCATTCTTCCCTATATATTTATCTATTTATTTAGTAAAATTATAGAATATCTCAAGTAGGACAGGACCCTTAAGGACCAAATCCAACTTTCTCCTCTTCACACGACTACCTTAAACTTAACCATTTGACTAAGATATCTTTTATACATATTCATAAAAATATAATCTATACACACACCATATATATATCCATATCTATGTGCATTTGTCTATATTCCATCAAACAGCCTTAGAAAGTTTTCAGAAGACACTAGTCATTCTTGTGGAGTAAAGACCAACAGCAACAGTTTTGATTGAATTTCCTATTTCTTCATGAAATGGCAGTTCTCAGGGTTTCCCTCTTTCTCTCTGTTGCAATGTGATGTCTGCCTTTGCCTGTAGCACAGGCCTTCCAAGCCCTGTGGGTGGGAATGCAACTAAGGCTTTGAATGTTTTTATAGCAACCTAGCCTGTGGCATGCTGATTCTTTGTCAAGTCATTTCTATTATTTTATTTTATTTTTAGTCTACAATGAAACATCTCGTATGATCCACAGAAAGCTTATATAATAATGTTGCTTAGTGTTTAAGATTACTTGAAACCACACCGAATCATAGTTAAAAAGCCTGCCGCATTGTGACCCTTTAGCTAAGAGGGATTAGCTGTGTGAAATCCCAGGCTGTCATGTGATTATGGCAATTACAGATTTATCATGAAATTAAAAGTTTATGCTGTACTAGGATATGAAAAGAAAAAATCAGATGACCTTAGACATACCACAATTTGAGGAATTTGTAGTTTGGGACTTTTAAAGCAATTATTTTTGCAGTGACAATATTATTTTGATGGCTAATTTTATCCAGTCATGTCTATTAAAAAAAAATGTCCAGAACAATTGAAAATTACTTAATGGAGACAGACTTCTCAATTCCAATAGCTAGAGGCTGTCTAGTAATTATTGCTTGCTGCATGAAATTAGTCACAGTTTGTTCAATTACTTAAAATTAGATCACATGTAAGGTGGCAAAGCAAAAAAAAAAAAAAAAAAAAAAAAAGAGTAATTCTGTCCTTGCTTGATAGCAAAGTAATGAAATGAGAAGTAAGCTGTAAAGATGAAAATGTTACAAATCATCTCTGTAGGGTTTGGGGTTTTCTCATTGAAGGGAAGAAAAATGTTGTGTTCTGATAGATGGACATGAGTATGACTGTTGTGGATGAACGTGTGTAGAAGGCAGACAGTAAAATACATGCTGTATTTTTGCATGTGTGAAATGCAAATTGCCCATAAAAAGAAGAAAAATCCCCTTCCCTCTGTTTTTCACTTTACAATTCTGGAGTTGTTTCATGTACACACAGAAAATACAAGAGATGGTCTACAGGTGTGCAGGTCATCTGTGAGCTTCCTGTCAAGAGAACAGTACTTTTAAAGTAATTGAAAATTCCTCAACATTTTTGGGTGAAAAAAAGATAAAAAGTCTCTTATGGAGCTGATGGCCATGGTGGTGGGCTTTGAAATTGATGTATTGAGTTAAGAGAAGTTGTTGGAGTTTCAACAAAAATCCCTCTTTAGTAATGTGAGGTGATACTTGCATGTAACGTAGCCATGAAAAGTCAGACTAAGCTGTTTACAAAAACATGTAAAATCTGCCAAATAGCTGTAATACCAATAAGATTGTGCGATTTTATGAGGTTTTAAATTCTTAAGCTTTGCGAGGTTTCAGTTTATGTTTCATGTAATATTATGCTGAAGAATACATCCAGAGAATAAGGGAAGTTTTTTGGGGAAAAAAAAAAAAATGGATGAATGTGTAACAGCAAATACTTTGCGACAATCAACTGCTAAATAGTGTTGGGATAGGACTAACCAGTTATATCAAATGATCTTTATTGAAATGCTGTTAAGCACCTTGCAGCAGTCCAGGTCTGAATTAGATATGTACTGAGACTTGGGCATCCAGGTTAGGAGCTGAACCAGTGCCTCAAAACAGGACTTTTCCTTGGAACTGTTACATTTGCAGTATTTGGCCATTTCCTTTTGTGGCAGTGACATTTTTGCATAGATGGGAAGGACAGAAATGATATTTCTACATTTCAGACTTGGTTGTGGTTTTTGCTGTTGATTTATTAAGCAATCTGTATTCATGCAGAAGCAAATTTTCTGAGAAAGCAAATCAAGTTCTCACAAGAAACTTATGATTGAATTATAACATTATCTTCAATTAAAGGAGTATTTATTTTCTGTCTCTTAGGATTAGCTCAGCAGAGCCATGCTAATGTCAGGCAAAAATGTGCTGATTGTTGACCTTGCATTGGCCTGTGTTCAAAACACAGGCATTTGTTTATGTTCAGGATGCTGATCTTATTTGCAAATTATTTTGGGACAGTGGCAAGTTTTGCCTTCACTATCTCAGAAAACATCAGTGTGTTTTAGTTTTACAGAGAAATTCTTTATCACATTCTTTGTCGTTCTGTTAAAAACAGAAAAAAGAGAAAAAAATAAATTATTTTACTCTAATCGGTCATTTGAGACAAGTACAAAAAATTTTCAGCTAATGCAACAAATATCCTTCTCAAGTATCAAGGTACTGTCAGTGTCCTAAGCAGTTATTTCTCCACTTCACTAATCTTTATAATTGGCTTGTCTTTTACTGCCATTAATTAAGTGATGTAGTAGCCCATTAATAATTATAAAAGAGTGACACACCTCAGCATTTTCACCTTTCAATAATAGATGTCATGCTTCTGTTTTGGTTTGGTTTGTTTTTTTTTTTTTTAATTTAAAATAAAAAGTAGGCAAAAAAGCACATTGTTTTAAATGTTTGTATTTATTTTGGTGTTTTATAGCACCCTTACCCTTCAGAAGAGCAGAAAAAGCAGTTGGCACAAGACACAGGGCTCACTATACTTCAAGTGAACAATTGGTAAGTAATTTTCCTTAGTGTTTCTATATGGCCACTGGCACCCTCTGGTTATTCCTTTGGGGACACACCTTGCCCTTGTTGTTCCCCTCCCCAAAAGTTTGTTGATACAGAAGGGATAGAACCAGCTGAGTGGTTTCAGGTGTAGAAGGTATGAGGTTTGCCACTGTATTTTATTTTCCCATCATTTGGGCAGATCTCAGTGTATTCACATCAGTTCTCTTTCTGGCTGAGGATATCTGTTCTTCAATAGGAAGACACATCCATTTGCAGGACATTTGTCTTGGAAGAGGTTCAGATGTCAGAGGCAAAACAGGGACAATTGGTCCCATTTCTGCTGAGCATATTGTTATTTGGGACTGCTGTCATGATTTTTATAGTGTAGTTAGAGAGGTTTTTCTTTTTGACTGACACCCTTGAATCTCTTTATCAGTTTGTTTTCAAAATCCAGTTTATGAATAAACTTTGAGGACAATCTGGTTCTTTGCTGCTAAAGTACATTGTGTGGAGCAATTTTATTTATTTGCTCCAGCTAAGGATTGATGGAGCCCTTGCTCTGTTACAGTAGTGATTCATTTGAAGGAAGTCAGGATCTGTGCTGTTTCTGCAGTGAACTTTGGGTTGCTAACTGCTCAGGGTGTGGGTGAAGGCAACCAGTAAAATTACTTGTGATTTAAGTGTCATACAGCAGCAAACCTCTTTTAAAAAAAGTTTGATTTATTACCCTTTGATACTACATCAAAATGTGGGTTCCTCCCACTGTCCCAGAACAAGTGTCATACTTGAAGTGTGCTGCAATCTAATACCTTATAAAACTAAGTGTATCTAATTAATTGTCCTAATATTTTTAGATTAGTGTTTATGATGGGAAACCTTATCCTCTTTGAAGTAATACCCAGAAAATGGTCAAGACAAACAGCAAGCCTGCTGGGGAAAAGGGAGGGAGGAATGCCAGTTTGCAGACAAAAGTTGTTGGTTTTTTTTTTCCTGTTCAATAAGTGTCAGAGATTAATATTACTGAAGCTCTGATTACATGGCCTAATCCATTTTAGTGAATAAATTTGGTCTTGATGTCCATTGCACCTACATTAACAAACCCTCCTCTCTTAGAGAGCGTAGGAGCCTATGGGAGAGATTTCAGATATATTAAACCCCATTACAGAAAATGTAATTTCTGTCAATATAATCCCATGTATTCTTCAATTTAGTACTTTAGAGATAACAAGCTACTTACAATATATTTGCCTTTGGAGGATTAATTTACAAAGTGCACTATCTGGGAGACGCAGGCGGGCTCACATAAGCATAGCTTGTAAGGGTTATCAATTTCTGTGACCCCACAGCAGCCTTGGGAGATCAATTTTTTGAAGCCCTTTAAGACGCTGAATAAAGGAAAATACCAAATACTTAGTGTATATGAAGTATGCTTCAAACATACTTAATTTAAAATGGAGGAATAAAAGGCATAAACCATAAAATTTACATGTTATAAGGTAGTGCAACCCACAGTATTTTGGCTCAGACAGAAAAAATTAGTGTTTACTTCAACTTTACATTCTCCAGCCTTCATCCAGGTGTTACCCTCATTTGTATGGTTGTCCTTCAGTTTAGCAGTGGGTGTTTTGGCCCACTGAGGAGCTGTGGGTACTCATCAGGGTCTGGTTTAACGATGGGGTGGAGAATGGGTGTGTTGCTGCTGCAGGGTCTGGGAGTGCAGGATTCAGCATGGACAAATGTGTCAGTTTGGGATGGTCCGTCACAAGACGTTTTTCAAGATGATGAACATAGGATGGATTCAACTGAAAGTGGTGGAATTTCTCCAGAGTGACCTTCAGTAGGTTTTCTTTCCAGGGTGTTTTTCAGTACCTGTCTCTCCTCAAATATGAGGAGGTTTTTCTTTGGCTTTGTGTCAGATGTGTTCTTATAAGTTCCTTATGTGCAAAGAAAAAAAAAAAAAAGGACGAAATACATTATAACTGAAGTCTTGTGGATACAGGGCAGACTTCCTCTACTTGAGCCAGTTCAGTAATTCTGCTGTGGTGTTTGTTACAATTGTATAAATTATTGAAATAATTCTCCTTCTTTCCCCTGAGGCACAACAATTTAACACTATAGAGGCAGTGGGGCTTTCTTAAATCGCAGGTGGTGGGCAGAGATGCCAAAATATGGCAATGCAGCCCCTGCTTTTTGTAATGGATGCTAGGGAACAAGGAGACTGTGAAGCTGTTGCTGAGTGTGCAGGTTGCTCGGGGAATACCCAGCCATGAGGTGAGCAGAGAGCTACTCATCCCCTCCCAAATCCTGGGGGCTATGGAGCAACCTTCTCAATCGTTTTGCTCGATCCCTTTTCTTCTAAAGCAATGTGCACAAGAAACTCTTCCTACCTAAATGTTTTGCTGCAGGGAAGAGCTAACATATAATTTCTGGTTAGTTTTGCCTTTCTTAAGCAGGCTCATAAGTCATTCAGCCAGAACTCACAAAAAAAATTTGCCTTCCTCCTTAGATTCTTCCAAACTTGTTAACACACATGTACATTTTTGTATTAATGATGAGTCATTGTAAATCACTGTTGCAGAGATTAAATAAAATGCTGAAGGGCAGGCTGGGTGCAGATCAGTCATAAATTATTGGCAGCAACACAGCATGTGGGAATACATGAAATGTGCATGAAAAACATAAACTCATGTCTGGTAGCATGGTCGTTAGCCCAGACTGGGAGTGCTGGATTTTCTGGCTGGAATTAGAAGTTTGCCACAGACCAGTCAGTGAAGAGGGCATTTGTTTTCTGCAGACTGAAAGCATTTAAACAAATTTTTTTTTGTCATATTTTGAATGCCTTTTCGGTATGTGCTGGTTGCATATTTTAGTTTTTTGCTGTAACGGAAAAAAAATGTTGATTTTCACATATGGACTGCCCTGGTGCTGGGGCTCCCTAGGCTGATAAACATAACCCCTGTTGATGGTGGAGGAGTCACAGGAATGGGGTGATGATGTGAGATGTGCCAGAAAATATATCCATGAAAGGGCACATGTCTTTAAAAATACCACAGTCCTTTTACTATGACCCTTTTCATTGGGTTATTTTATTTTATTTTTAAAGTAATGAAATAATCCACACAGAGGATTTTTTGCTTCTTTTTTCCCCACATGATGACTTCACTTATGAATCACCTTCTAGGACCATCTTTTTGCCTCAGTCAGATGTTTCTGTCGTGTGAAGAGGGAGCCGTTACCCTGCTGCAAAATAAAAATAAATCTGTGGAAGGTAGAAGATAGCAGGGTTCAAATGTCGTTAGTCTAAATGAGCCATTCAGATCTCTGTCATATCAGTTGTTTAACCCCATGGCAGTTCAGGGTTCCAAGCACAGTAACATGAGCAAGAAGGGGCACTTATATGATGCCTATATGGACCTGGTGGAGACCTGAACAGGTACAGGTTAATAAGGTGCTTTTCCCAGGTGATAAAAACAATGAATTGAAACATCCAGGTAGGATCCTATCACTTCTTACCTCAGCTGAGAGCCAGTCAGGCTATACTGAACAATCTATACGGTTTTCTTGTTTACTACATCCCTGCTGAATCTCTTCCCATTAAGAGCTAATGGTAAATAATTACTGGCGGTAGTCTATGAAGAAGAGAGAGCAATTCTAATCAAGGGCTTCATTAGGTGTCACATGCTTGTTTATGTTTTAGAAAAGTCTTGGTGCACACAGATAGGATGTTTGTATACTTGCAGAAAAATGTGCCTATATAATTTCCCTATACGTGCATGTCTTTGTATGATTGTCTCTCTAAATAGTATTGCATCCAGCTGCATTAAAATGATAAAAAAAAATAAAAATTGAGAATTCAAATCCTTAAAGCTCCAGCCTTTATTAGGTGTTCCCATTCTGCTTTTTCCAAGTACCCTTGTGCTATCTAGGGCACAGCCCAGACAATGCTGGAGCAGCTAGTCAATATTTTATCTTGCCCTCATTCTTCCGTGCTTCATTTGTTGAGCTGTATTCAAACCGTGCTTGAAGATGGAATTAATAATTACTGCTGGGTTTTCCTGTGGCACTCACTTACTGCTGTAATACCCGAGTCCTTCCCTGACCTCCACGTGCCTATATATGCATACAAGGTTGTGGGTCTGCATGGTATTTTTAAGTTACCCTGCAAAGAGAAAGAAAAATGTTGTCCTGGTTCACAGGGGAAGAAGTGAGGCTCATTGAGGTCCAGGTCCAGCACAGTCACAAGTTTTGGGTTGGTCTGGGACTGTGAGGTGACTCACAATTAGAGCAACTTTTTCTCATTTAGGGTCCAACAATCATTGAAACTTCATGTTTCATGGAAACTCCAAGTTTTGAGTGCCTTGGTGTCTTACATTGCCAATGTCCACTGTTGGGTGTGGAGAAGTGAAAAATCAGTAACGTATGGTGAAAGTTTCATGTTCAGTGATTGATTCACTCAGTAGCTCTCAATCAGTCCAAGGAAGCAGCAGAGCTGAACCCTCTTCTCCAGTGCAGTATTTGGCTATATGAACCAGGACAGGCTTGCTTTTCTTCCTGCCTGAGTCATTCAACTTTGTCAAAGTTTATTACCTGTAGAGATAGATTGATTTTTTTTTATTTTATTTTATAATGCCCTGGCCTGTTCTTGTAACAGACGTAATTGTCATTGGAATGCTTGAGGCATTGAGCCCTATCAAAAATGGTAGCATGAGCTGGTAGCTGAACTGTAATGAAGTACATTAAAGCCTAGGGTGCAAGCAACCCTAGTCATATGGTGTTCTAACTCTTGAGTTCTTGATTTTGTATTCTTGGCTTCTTTAAATGTCATTTTTGTATATAATTTCCTAGGCTTGCAAAAAACCTCAGAACAAACCCCAACCAAACATATCAGAAAAAAATGACCAAATAATGTGATCAAAAAATTTCCCTAATCTTATTCTTGGAGTGAGATGAAGTGGATTTTACTGAAACCCTGTAAGAAAGACATTTCAAAAATGTCTTTCAAAAATGTGCAAACATTTTCCACTTGCTCTTTTCTCCTCTCCTGCTCTAGCTTTGCTCTGCAGGATCAGGGTAGGGAGGGGTCAGAATGTTTGCTTGCTTCTTTTTATTTAAAAATACTGAGATTCAGGTGTCCACCACCTCAAACCCTGTAAGAAAGATATTTAAAAAAGGCTCCAAGACCAGCCCAAAGATAAGTGTGGAAAATCAGAGATGGATTTGGGATAGGGACAGCTGACCACCTTACTGTATGTAGCAGAGCCAGCTCAGAGCATAGACACACAGAAATAATTTATTACTCTCTCAACTCTCCTCCAGCAGGAAATTTCCTTCTGCCTCCATTTCTTTGCTCCTGGGTAAGACTAGTGGTAGAGCTTTGCTGCAGCAGTTGCATGGGGCAGGGGAGGAAGTGCTTTGCCATGGCGTGGGCAGGCAGGGTGGCATGGTGGGGACAGGAGGATTCCGCACTTCTCACGGGGGGAGAGCTCCCTAGAACCCAGCCATGAATGGGGAGCACCACTGGGAAGGGTGTCCTTTCCATCTGCTCCTCCTGGCTTGCAGATGGTGGGGTTAAGGATGGAGCAGATGGGGGAATGCAGACTGGGAGATGCAGATGGAGAGGTGCAGATGGGACCCGATGCAGATGGGGCAGATGCAGAAAGCCCCTGCCTGCCCCTCCACAGTGGGGCAGGGGAAAGAGGAATGGCCACACAGCTCTCCACCTTTTGGGAAACAGTCCCAGGCCCCTCTTTTCCCTCTGTGATTTTTATATCATAGCATGCCAAGGGTTTGGTGCATCTGAAGCACACTCAGATAGCCCCAAATCCAACTCATATTGTCTGATGTTTCCCTTCTGTTTAGCCCCATTCCAGACCCCTGGAGGGGACAGAACAGCTCCTTCCTGGGGCTGAGCATTTAGCATAGACATCATCTTTACTCAATTCCTTCACTGAGGGTGATATTCACCCCGAGCAAAAGGCCAGCACATGACCAGTGCACCACTTTAGTCCCACTTAAGCACTATTTTTAGGGTGTAAGTGGGGGAGGAGGCCAGCAGGGAGGGGGCATAGCAAAAGCAGGTGCTGGTCCTATATGCAGGGTTAGATTTTCACCCCTGTTGCCCACCAAATTGTAGACTACAATAAATGGGGAAGATACTTGGTTCTCCAAGCACATCGCACGCAGGGATTTTTAGTCCTTGGAGAATAAAATATCTGCTTATTTTCAGATGTATCTATTACTGCTTTTGTTGCAGTAAACAGATTAAATGAGAAAAGGTCAAGATGCAATTTCAATCTGTGTAAGAACATAACAAATACTTTTCTCAGTAATCAGATATAGTAAATACAAGTACTTATTTACTTGTAAATGTTAAAACATTCACAAATTATCCTCTCAACTTCAGCAATACGATCTTAACCATCAGATTTTGGAGAAAATTTACTTTTCTCCTCTATGTTATTCTAGAATATGTATACAGTTGTTATTTAAACAGTTTTGTTAATGGGAATACATGTGAAAGCAAGAAAAAAAATAGGAATAAGAAAGAATATATATTTTGGGTTTGACAAATAAATATTGTTTTATATTCCAGAGAATAAGACGGTAGGTGTTTGCAGTATGAAAATCATCTCACTCCAAGAAAACCCCCTTAAAACACCAAGAAAACTATTTTTAAAAGTATCTTGCTGGGTGAATTGTTACATCGTTTGAGCAGTTCAGAATGTGTGAGGTAAATTAGCTGTTCTAAATGTACCATGTGCCGGATTTTTCAAGCAGATTTTTGCATTTATGTTTTCACTAAGTCTTAGCTAATTGTTATGCCTTTCACCTTGAATGCCAATTGTAATAATAATATTACATCTGTAGTCTATTTCTCTGTTCTTAAATTACAGCAATCAGGAATACTCACTAGGTAAAATCCTGTATAGTTACTCATAAGAAAATATTGAAATCAGATGAAAAAATAATGTTTAGCTTGCATATTGCCTTAGACAGCCCTGGAGAGCTGCCAGGCAGTCAAGGTATTATTAGAAAAGCTGAGCAAACAGCTTACAGGGGGAAGAGCTGTGAATGTAAAGCCATCAGGTACTGTCGGATCACTGGATTTTAGGCTGGAATTTCCTTTTTTAGTTCAGTAAAGCCATTTTAAAGTACAGCACAGTGGTTCAAACATGTGGGGTTTGGGTTTGGTGAGTCAATTTAAGATGTAGTGGTTCAGTTTTGCCATGGGTGTTTTCCAAAGGGATCAGGTGCTCAGAGGAGGCGAGTAAGGAGTTTTCTTGGGGAAATGCTCCCCTTGGCCTCCAGGACTTCAGGCAGAGGAGAAGATGAAGACCTAATAGACCCTGGATTTCTTGTTCAGTCCAGACTTGTCAGTCTCCACACCCGCCAAACTGCCCCAAAACAGGGGTCATCCCATTCAGGAGCCCCAAGGAAAGATGTTTTTAACCATTGCTCTGACAGCTCCTGGATTCAGACTGGGAAAAGCCAGCAAAGGAAACACTACTTATTTCAAAAACAAATGTGAAATCATTTGGCCCAAGCTAACAGACCAATTAGTGACACATCAAAACCTGGTATTATTTTAGTCACATAGATACTTTTTTGAGAGGAAGTAACATTGGTTCCCACTGCAGAACATCAGACAGTGCAAACAGAGTTTACCTGCCAATATCCTGGCTAGCAAAAAGTTAATATCCAGGCAAGAAAAAACCTCTTTTCTCTCTTCTGGGGTGGTCTTGTACTCAATAAACTTTTTTTTAGTTGGTGCATTAATGTTTTGTAACAAATGTGATGTCAGGTGCCAGGGAAATAAGATGAAATGGCACTTGTGCAAACATTTTTGACTTGTTCATTTCTCCTCTCCTGCTCTAGCTTTGCTCTGCAGGATCAGAGTAGGGGTCAGAATGCTTTGCTTGCTTCTTCTTATTTAAAAATACTGAGATTCAGGTGTGCACCAGGCTCAAAACAAGAGTTTCGCTTTTAAAAAGTGCCCATTCAGGACTCTATTGTGTTGTGGAAATGCTGCATTGGAAGCAAGGGGAGTGCATTGCACTGTCTTTGTGAATACAGTTCTCAGGTCTTGCTTTCTTTTTAGTGCAAGGAATATCTTCGATATATATCTAAAAAATTACATGCCCTCAATATATGAAAAAAAAAAAAAAAAAAAAAAAGAAAGACGGGGAGAGTAGTGGCTTGTCATTGCTTTGCAAGTCAGGCTTTGGTCTATTTTTGTCATAGCTATCTGAAGAGTGTTTACATATAGTGTGCCTTTCTGGTATTTTGTGCTTGCACAGACCTGATCTCCACCTATTTTGTGTCAACAGTTGCTGAGACTGGTGTAGAGTGATTAACCATCACGAACTGAAACACCAGCACGTGGAGAAAGGTGCCCTCAGAGACCCTCTCACACTTAAATCAGACGCTTGCTCCAGGCTGCACCTGCGTGAAACAAACTGCCTGGTTCAAAGCTCAGCCTGAAAGAGTAAAAATGGGGCAAATGTTGCCTTTTTATTGGTCAAATCAATTTTCTCTTATCAAAAATGAGACACAGCCAGAGGGGCAGGGTGAGGATGTGATTTGAGGGTGTGTGTTTTGCCCTACCTACCCTGGAATGATTTTGGTGTAAGTGACACGTGGCTGGCTACACCAGCCTTAGCACCAGCCAGGATTCTGCCTTTTCTTTGACTTTTCAAAAATAAAAGAAATGGCAGCAGATGCTGAAAAAATATTGCTTCCACAGTTGTTCAATGAAATCTAGGTCATGTAACAGTTTCATGGGTTATTTTTTTTCCCCTTGCCCAGGCATTGTAGTCCTTGTGTCTTTTTTGGCTAGGGATAAAGCTCAATACCAATAGCTCCTTTTGAATTCAGATTTATTCCAGAGATGTCTGACTTCCCACCTGGGTTATAAAGGTGGTTTTTACCATCTGGGGGCTTATCCCTAAGCTTTGTCTGTCCCCTGTCTCACAAATTCTTTTAATCTTCGACATTCCTCTGACTTCCCTGTGTGTGTTTTGCTGGTGTTGTTTTCCGAGGGTGTCTTTTCTTCTGCCCTGAATATAATGCTGTCAGTAGTAGGATTAGAAGCAAAATGAATCACTTCACTTAATGGGAAATTATGTTTAGATAAAGTAGATTACAAAGTGGGCTATTAGTAGTGGTTAGAAAACAATGTTTTGAAGTGGGATGTCTTGGGGCACAGAGAGTTTGCTCAGAAGTGTGGGGTTGTTTTTCAGGTTGGCTGTGACTCAGAGCTGTATCTTTTGTGGTTTCTGGGGAGAGAAAAAAAAAGGAAAAAAGAATTCAAACCAGTTTTTCAGGTGCCCACATCACACAGAATACATCAGTGTGCCTGTATTTGTTGTCTTGATTGTGGCAGGGAAGACACAACCACAGGAATAAAGCTTCCCTCAACACCCCAAACCAGTGTATTGGGGTATAGACCAGAATGATGTCAAAGCCTATTTCATGTGCAAAACACTGGCCCCAAATATGTCTCTCTGGGGGCCCTGAGAGTGTTTTCTCCCAAAGACACTTGTCAAGAGTTTGGATTTGACCACCCTGGGTTTTGCTTCTCCTTTTCCTGCAGGAGCTGGTGTAGGGTGACTGGGTGTGGAGTTACTCCATACTCTTTCATTGCCTTTTGGGGATGAGGATGGTGAAGGGATTAATCCAGGAGCATAGACAAGTCCTTTCTCACACCCTTTAGTGAGTGGAAACATGTTTAAACCAGCAGCCAGATGTGGGAGCAGCCTCTCTTCTTTTGCTCGGGCTGGAGGACAAGGCACAGCTTCCAACTCCCATGCTGTATGTGGGGTGGGGAAGGAGGGAACAGGGAAAAGCTGTTTGGAAAAGGCTCACAATCTGATGTATGGAAAAACCTTGGACCTCAAGGAGGACCCCCTGTGTTTAGAACACTTGTATGGCATGAGAAAGCTCAGAGATCATGCAGGCACTTCTCACAAGCTCTACATTCCACTAAAACAGAGGTTATGCTGAGTAGGTAGAGGACATTAAACTGCTGAAATAGGGAGGAGTATTTTCAAAGAAATAACCAGTATTTTACTGTGAGCTCTCACCCATTCCCAGCTTAATCCCTGCCATCAGATGGGGCTTGGTTTGCTGGTTTGATGTGGTCTGCTGAAGAAAAGCTGCTGGGTTGCACTGCTGGCATGCACCAGATCAGGACCCAAGTTATAGAGTCCAGAGAAGCTCTCCTGAAGGATCAGGTGGGAAGTTGATGTTCAAACCCTTCTCTGCAAAAACACCGAGCTGGGAGATGTGCATCTCAGCCTGGGCTGCTCTCAAAGCTTTCAGAGAGCCTGCACACCCTCTGTTACAAGTGTTTTTGTGGGAAGCAAGATTTTGTCTGCCAGCATGTTGTCTACACAACCACAGTGCTTTTTGGGGGCCAGTGCTGTCCCAGGCAGGAGTTAGAGCAGCCTTAGTGCTGCTCTGCTACAAGAATCCTTGCCATATTCCTTAAAGGCTAATTGTGGCACATGGAGATCAGCAAAGTACAGCTGCGCTGGGATTTAGGAGCAGGGAAGAGACGGGAGGTCAGCTCCACTGGCGCTTTGCCATGTAAAGATTTCCCCTTACATCATCTGGCTGCTGAGGGCGAGTTTACATCTGCTTTGCACCCTGAGGGAATTGTGGTGTCAGGGAATGAGGTTGCTGAGAGTTCTCCCCAGTGCAGCCAAGACCTGCAACACTGCTCTGACTCCCTGGCATCGTCGCAGAGATGCCTGGATACTGGATCTGGATTTTCACTGGAAATGTTCCATGTTGGCTAAGCTTTTTGAGAGGAATATATGGATGGGAGGGGAGGAGGAGAAGGAGGAGAGCATACCAGAAAGGCCAACAGAAGCTCACCTGTGATGTAGAAGAGCACAGGAGATGGGCAGAGCAGGAAGGCATATATCCAGGGATCCCTTCCCCAGGCACAGTGGCTCTTCCCTCCTCCTTAGCAAGACCCTTCCAAAATTTTCATTCAGAACTAGCCAAATAAATAGAAATAGGCCTTACCTCCATCCTGCTGGAGAACAGGCCAAATTTTCCAAACTGAAATTGTTTGCTGCCCAGCTCTCTCCTAGAAAGACTCCTCAAGCAGCCCTGCAGAGAGATGGAGCTAAGGGAGCTTTTGGGCCAAGGCAGAAGCAGGGGCAGGAGCTCAAGGGTCCCACCTCAATAGAAAGCCACCAACCATCCCTTCTGTGTCCAGAGGACAGGCCACCACCAGGCTCACTGCTACCCCAAGGCATCACCATGTCTGCGTTTTGTCCCATGGCACTGGTACTGATTGGACAAGGGGGGTGGCTTTAAATCGAAACAGGCTGCGGTTACTTTAGAAATTAAGGAGAAATTCTTCCCTGTGAGGTTGGTGAGGCACTGGAACAGTTGCCAAGCTCCCAAGCTTAAGGGCTGGGGAGAAGGGGAGGTGGCCAAAGGTAGAGCTGGTGCGTGCTGGGCCAGCCAAAATGTAGGGCATAGCCAGCTCTCTTACAAGGAGCACATACCTGATCTCATCTCTCTGCTTTCTATTTTTGCCCTTGATATGCTCCCTGCATTAGCAGACTTGGTTTGGAGAGAGATTCGATAGCACTCTCCTGTTTGAGAGCAACTTTTCTGAATGCACAACATGAATCCATTGGTGGGGTCACATAGTAATGCTTGAAGTCAGAAGCTATTTTTAAAACTAAATTGCAGAACCACACATGGCTTTCATTAGTGCTTTACATCAAATTTGTCAGCTAATTAGTGGTTTTTCATCACTAGTTTCTGCATAGTATTTTATTTAATTCACTCTCCAATATTGTCTTGCGACACCCCTCAGCCCTATATACAGTCCCTGGCACTGGTGCTGTGCCAGCAGAGGAGGGAGGAAGAGGAGAGCTTTCAGGAGACCTTTCTGATGCTCCTGATGGATGGGCTCTCTGCCTTTGGAGTGTATTCCAATATTACGTGTCTGGAGTGGGCGGTGAGCAGCCCTTGTACTCTCTTCCCTCCCTACCTCCATTTAGTGTTGTAAATGATGTATTGCAGTCCTGAACTGTCTTTGGTGAGGAGGAGGAAGAGAAACCAAGAAAAGTTGCCAAACATGATTTCATAAGGTTTGACTTTAAATTGAACAAAGTTTCTTGAGTGTCTTGAATTTTTTTTTTTCTTTACAAATAAAGGGAGTACAGAGAGCATGGATTGCTAATGACTGGTAGTTACGGGTCATTAAGCTCACTAACTGACTTCAGGATCAGAACTTTCTAATAACAACAGTAAGCACTCTTTTAACATTTATTTCTCATTTTAGGGATGGGGAGATGTGGTTACCATTCGAAAGTCTGCAGTTATTTTTTCTGTTCATAATTACAGAGGCAGCTTGCTATTTTCAAGGCTGTTTTTAAAAAACATTTGAAAGTATTTGGTGAAATAATTTTGGTGTTGGTATGGGTTTTTTTCTTTTCTTTGACTCTTTTAAAAATCTCTAGAAAACAAACACAGAGAAAAAAATGAAAATATGTTAAAATAAGGAATAAAGCAGTTACTGAAGTGTAATAATCTTGGTTTATAGCACACTTTCCATTTAAATTGGTTTTATTAGAGATAAACCTGTTAAGCGTTGAGGAATTAAGTGCTGAATAGAGAATGTTGTTTTGCTGCTGTATAAATGAAGAATCCCACTATGCAGAAAAGAGTGCAACTGGTTTTACAAGTGAATTATTTGCCAGTTTGCAGTGCTATGTTTACTTTGGCATCTGTTATAAAAATGATGATTTGTTTGTTGTCAGGAGGGATACTGTTTTTCTTCAGAGGGGCATGAGAGATTTTAGCACTGGGGTTTGTAGGTAATGTGGGCTTTCTCATTCTTCTTACGCCTGGTTTGCTAGAAGGAGCTCAAGGAGAAAATGAGGCAGAGAGATTTTCGGGAATTTCTTGGCTCTGCTAGTGAAACACAGACTTCTGGCATGCAGCGCTTTGGGACAATATTGAGAGGGAGCAGCCTGTGACTCCAAGTAGCAGAAGTCAGTAATGGTGTGAAACTCTCCTCATTTCGGAGGGCTGGGGACAGAGAAAAATTCAATAGACCGCGAAGTCTCAGCATCTCCTTTCAGACAGCTGGTCCTGGAAAATTTCATTCAAAGACTGCAAATTGGAAGTCCCTACAATCGCTCTGCCGATTCTTGAGCAAAGGTGACTTTGGAAATTTGTGACAGCAGAGGAAGGTCTTGTTTTATTCACTCAACAGAAGTGAAATACAAGGGGAAGGGAGAAAGAACAGATCTGTGCGGAAAATGTCACTTGGGCTGTAACCTGAGCCCTAGCGAGCTGTGCCTTTCGGAGGGTTTGGTGACCCTCTGAAAATCCTTGCTCTCTGGCTGCTATTATTGTAGCCAATTTCCAACTAAAATAAGTCTTTTGTCATCACCAGCCATGCAGCCTCTTGCTGAGAAGAAACAAAACTTGTGCGTGGCAGCGAGGGCGGCCAAGCTGAAGGTCAGAGTGCAGAGGCAGATTGCTGCATCCCCGGGGCTGGGGCTGGAGCTCACCCGTGGGACCGGCGATGCACCAACCAGGGAGTCTGCCCGTGACCTCTGCAGACAGACCCCAGGCGAGAAGCCTAAGAGAAAACATCCTAGTAAAATGCAAATGGGAGAAAAGAGGGTTTCCTCCTCCCCTTTAGGGTTATGCAGGTGGAGTTGCTGGGTTTTTCTTGCTTTTTGGGACATGGCAGAAAGTGCAATCCCATGTGTCTGAAAAGAGCAAGGAAAAGTTAACTTGAAAAAATTAGGAAATGCTTCAAACTTCTGTGTTTGCCCAACTGTTCAAATGTTTTCTCCATGCCAGATCCTTCCCTTTACAAAACAAAACAAAATAACAAAAGAAAAAATCCCCCCCCCCCCCAAAAAAGGAGGAAGTTTAAAAAAAAGGCAGCCCAAGGCATCACTTTGCTGGGTGCAGCTTGTACACTGAGGGATATTATGTTGTTGTGCCACTATTGGTCCAACTCTTTTGAGGCAAAAAACTCAAACCAAAAGATCCCCTTCCTCATCAGAGCAAAGATACCACAACACAGAGCGCTGGTGTAGGGAAAAATCCTTCCTGCAAGCCTTTGAGCCTGATTGGCTCTTTACTCACATGAGTAAGGCTATACATCTGTCTTAAGTTTTATGCTAAATTGTATTTTGATAATACTCCATTTCAGTAGTAGTATGCAACTACCTTTTTTAGGTCCTGATTTCTCTCAAGTTTTAAAGATTAGAGTGATTTAGAGTTTCTTTCTCTTAAGATAGGTTACTATGAACATTTGGGAAAAGGTGAAGGGAGATTATTCCTTTTAGCTTTTCTGTTCCATTGTTTTTGCTGATGTTCAAATCAGCCTGGCACTTTGGAAATTCAAAGAGTGATCAAAAGATCCTGGCCCTTCTCTCAAAGAAAAAAAACTGAGAGTATGAAGAAATTAACCACATGCCCGTATATTTCTGCAGCAACAGCTAATTTGCAGTTTCGCTTGCAAGAAGTTCTCAAATGTGATTTATAAACATCACAGCCTGTATTGTGCTCTCTCAAGGCAAGCTACGCTAATTGTTTTAATCTGATAGGTTCTTACAAATTCTAGGTTTGGGATGCAGGAAGAAACTTGAAAGTGAATACTTTCTTCTTTTTTTTTCTTTTTTTTTTAAATGCTCAGTGGTTTGGAGTCTACTATAATGCAAAGTAAAGCGTTGTGTTACAAAGGCAGGGAGGATGGGACAGAAGGTTAAAGGGCATCCTGGAAACAAACAGCTGGACCAGTTTATTTAAACAGATACAAGGATGGGGAGCTGACCTCCGTTTGACTTCTAGTGGGAGGAGCAAGAATGTCATTTTATTACTTTGCCCAGAAGGAAAATGTTCTTGTGTCTGAATTCCCCCCAAAGACATCCAAACACTGAGCTGTTTGGCAGAATTGCTACTTATAGAAAATACTTACACGAATGCGTGGGAAGAAGATAACTGTTAAGTACCTGTGTGTAAAATGTTCTTAAAGCAGAGATCCCAAACCATAGCGTGGGGCAAACAGGTGAGATTATGTTTTACCATAGGCACATCTTGTGGGTAATTATGGGTAAACCTTAGATATATAGTTTATTCTAGTATATTAGGATATGAACAATACTATATATAGTATAGTTTATTATTTTGAGGCACCCCTCCATCTTAAAAGTGCTTGTAGTTTGGAGGAGAAGGAAGAAAAAGTCGTGAAGTTGAGGTTGTACATGCCTAATGTTGCTCAGCATTTATTTGGGGTAAAAGTTTTTTCAGTGACCAGTCACTCTCACAGCTACCTCTCTCCTCCTGCTGTGCTAGCAGGTCCTAGCAGTGGGGTAGGAGAAGGATGGAGTAAACACAGCAAGAGCCTTGCCAGACTCACAAAAAGAAACGGCTGAGGCACTAGGGTTTTGTGGTGTTGTTTTGCTTCGAAGAGTTACTGTGAAAATTGCTTTCTGCAAATGCAGATTACAGATATTAAACAATTTTCTAATTGGTCATGGTGCTAAGGCAGCTAATGGGGGAAAAAAAGCACGTTTTTTTTAATTGCTTTTTTCACATGGTGTTTTTGCTACACCTGTGCTTATAATGAGAAAGGAGAATTAGTCTAACCTTCTGCTCACATGATTCTAATTTTCATGGTTTGTACAAGATAATGATAAACTGATTTGCAACACTGTTTGCTGGAGTCGAGAGGGGGTGTTTATTGGAAATGTGTAGAAAAAATTGATCCAATACTGTTGCTGACAAAACATGACCTAGTTCAGGTGTAAGGTTTCCAGACTGGCACCAAGGTTTGGTGCCTTTGAGCCCATTTCCTCAGATAAGTTTGATAAAGTCTCAACATCTTGATTAATTTTTGCAGTAGTTTGGGTAATGGGTGTCAGTGGGGAATGGGAGATAGGAGGAGTCTGAAGTCACTGTGCTGGCCTTTGATGAGGGCAAAAGAAACAGCATGGGGCAGTGGTTTGCTATTCTTCTCCCCTCTGGTGAAGGCAAATGGGTGGGCAGAGCTGATTCCCATGGAAAGATCCTGGTGGCTTTATCTCTGTGGTAGGAGAGCTCCTGCTAAGCCACCCCAAGCAAAGGCAATGAAAACAAGCGTCAAATATTCCTTTGTGGACTTTCCTATCCCATTTTAAAAGTGTGCTGTGATTTAGTTCACACACTTCTTCCTTTACTAGTAAATATTGTGGCATACATATTTGTATTATTCTTTTTCTCTCTCACAAAGAGCACAAAGTCTGATTATGCAGCTTTGCCATGACTAAGTCTCAATGTAGATTTTTTCCAAATGGATTTTAAGTAAATTTTCTGCTGAGTGAAACCTCAAGAGAGATTCTTCAAGTGGTCTTCATTCAGACAGGTTCCCAGCAGCATCAGGAGACCAGGGTACCTGTCTCCTTCTTTTGGTTTGCTCCAAATTATTTTGAATATTTCCAAACAAGCATTGCAGGACTAACTGAGGTGAAGAGCTACAAAACCACAAAGAGTGGGCTGCAGATAGCTATTTTTAAAAATTACTGTACCTAGTTTTTTTTTGTTGTTATTTCCAAAGATCTTCTTTTCATTGTTCGGGGGGGAATTTTCAGTAGTCCAGTAATTACAGTTTAACAAGATGTTTGCTGTAAATGGTCAGGCCTAGCTGGAGAAAACAGGATTATAAATTCAATTACTGTAAAGCTATGACCTCGCCTTGACCCTCTCAGACTTTGCATAAAGAGAGGGAGGGGGGAAAAAGCCCACCAAGAAATGGCTAGGAGGAATGCATGGCTCTGAAGTCCCCAGCAGTGTGACTTAGTGGTGATAAAAGTCCAGACGTTCCCTCATTTGATGGGGTTCTGCCATCACAGTTCATTATCTTAATAGTGGGCATTAAAAGGGAATTAGGTTTGCAAGAGGTAGGGACAGGTTTTGATAAAGAAAAAAATTGGAAAAAGAAGTCAAAGGACATAAGGCAGAAATGACACTAATGAGGGGGGAGGTAGCAGATGCCCTCACGAGCATCTCGCCGGCTTCACACGTTTTTGTTTTTTTGGTGCCCCATTCTGTATTGAGAAGAGCGTTGCTGGCATTGTTTCCTGAAAACTCGGCTAATTCCCCCATGAAAAGATGAAATGGAAGTGTCTGACTGTGGTAAAAAGCAGGCAAACATAAATCAGCTTGGAAACCCCAAGGTTGTGCTCTCAAAGGTCATCAGGGTTAGAGGTTTAGCAGTATTTGCATCCCCATGCAGCCTGATGGAGAGCACCACAGTAGGGTGAGAGGGCTTGGGGATGGGTGGAAGACATCCCTTCCCTAACCATTTGCTTTCCTCTTTTTTCTTGCAGGTTTATTAACGCTAGAAGAAGAATAGTTCAGCCCATGATAGACCAGTCCAATCGAGCAGGCAAGTCCCCAGTAGTAACTGTATTCAAGCCACACAGGTTAAAACCATCCTCTAGCCATTCACCAGGAGGTCCAGTACCTGGTAAATAAATGAGAAATGAATGCTGGGAGTGACTGACAATTAAAATAACAACCAAATTTCTTTCATTATGACTCTAATAATTTTGGAAAAAAAACCCGTTAAAAATTCAAAAAGGGAAACTAAAATGTTCCGTTCCATGACCGGATTTTCTGTACAAGATCCAAATTATTCTTGTATTTTTTTAGTCATTGTTTGGAGTTTTCCTTCCCAGCTCTTTCTGCTCCTGTGACCACTCCCCGGTGCATGGCTTGGTGTGGAATTGCTGTAAACTTTATTACCTGTCAAAAGGGCAAAGGGGTCAGAATCACTTGTGGGACTCAGTAAAGTTCAAAGACATTCAATGAGGTAGAGCTTTATGTGCTTTAATAACCCAAGCCAGCTTACTTCTGAAGCCAGCTTTTAACGTACATTGAAAACCTCCAGTTCAGGTAGTGGTACTGTATAGGGCTCTTTTGTCCCTTGGCTCTTCTTTTGGGATTGCTGAGCATTTGCTGTTTACTTTGGGGGTATTTATTTCTATTTTTTTAAAAGACCTTAAGTTTCCACACATTGGTTCTATCTGGGGTTTTGTCTCACAGCTCTCTGCGGGTATTTACCATCAAGGATTATCACAGCCCATTATTCCCAGTTGGTTTTGTTTTCCGAGTCTCCCTGCCAAACTCTCCAAATCCGTCGTTGTCCAAGATGCCTTTGGGCCACACTTCCTCTTCAAGTACATTTGATTATTTGTCATTAGATGTAAATATCTGGCATGGACGTGTTCAGGTCCTGCCCTTTGAAGGCACAAGGGTGTAATTTAACACACTGAGATTTCAGTGTGACTATTCCAGCCATAAAATCCGGCTCCTATACAGGTTTTTGCATTGACGTCAGCAGCGGCAGCAGCTGGAGCCGGGGCTCCTCATGTCTCAAGATTTCAGTTTGCTAACTTCATTTCCAAACTTGCAGAAGAAAATTAGGCCAAAACCAAGTACGCCTGTTAGTCCAACAGCTAAATTCACACAGTAGCTGTTTTCCCCTCTTTTAAGAGCCAGCATCAATAGCCCGTGGGTGGGGGGATTGTGTCCCAATGCCGTGGGAAGAGGTGACCATACTGGCTGTTGCTAAAAAGAAATGTTCTGCACCTTTGCAGTAAGTCAAGGAACACCCTATAACCCCGACGGGCAGCCGATGGGAGGTTTCGTGATGGACGGCCAGCAGCACATGGGCATCCGAGCACCAGGTAAGGCCCTGGGCAGCACTGCCCACTCACGGGTGCCCTCGGTCGCACCAGCACAGGTAAACACACCTCCCTCCGCCCTCTGCCGCCGTCCCCGCTGCCTGCTTGCCTCACCTGTCTTCTGCCTGCCTTCCACACCACCGAGGGAAACCGGGCGTCTCCTTGCTCGAGTGGTCCTGGACCCTCTGCCGTGCTGTGTTTTGGAAAGGGGCTTTTGGCACTATCTGTTGACTTTGCTCATTTTCTGGCATCTTCTTGGATTTTTATCTCCCTCTAGGACCTATGAGTGGAATGGGCATGAATATGGGCATGGAGGGGCAGTGGCACTACATGTAACCTTCACCTAGGTAACCAATGGCAAAGCCAGGGGGAAGTAAGTACAAACGAGGTCTTTGTTCTCACTTTGTCCGAGGGATATTTGTCTTCTTGCATTTCCCTATGTTCTCCCTGCCCATAGACTCATGCTTGTTCCTTCCTTTCCATCCATCCATCCTACGCCTGGGCTCCTTTGGGTTTTCTCTCCCTCTGGTTCAGCTCAAGCTTTCCAAGCTCCCAAACCCCCGCGTGCGCGCGCGCCGTACATTGACGCTGCCGTACATCGACGCCGCCATACATTGATGCTATTATCCATCCCCGAGCACATGACAAAACAAGGAGCAGCCAGGGAGGTGGGGGAGCCCGTCGTCTTGGCAACAGACTGATTTGCAAAATGTAAGCGGTCTGCAGCAGCACAGGGAGAGGAAAGAGCATGTCCCCAAAGTGTCATAAATCTGTCTAACCGCAGTTGATGCATGAGTTACATTTCTCCCGCTAACCTGCAAGACACCAAAAAAGCCAAACAGAGACTTCTCATGGGGTAGGAAAAAAAAAAACCAAGCAAAACCCAGCAGCTTCACGTAGTTGCTTTTTGGAAAGCAATGGATGAAACTTTGATTTTTTCTTTTTTTTTTCAAGTTTATTTCTCTTTGTCTGTCCATCATAATGGGATTACGTGTGGCAAAGGAAAAAGAGAGAATACAAAATAGAGGTGTGCGCAGCAGGCTATGGAGCTTAGCCCAAGCTAATTGACTATATCCAAATTAAGTATGCCATCACTTGCAGTGTGACAAATGGATTTGACTTATTCAGTATACAAAAATAGAGATCATTAATGCAATCTTCAGTGGCAGACCTCGCAAAGGAAGCCTAGAAAAACTGTCCCAGTTTTTTTTTCCCCCTCTTGTCTTTTTCTAGGGAAAAATACATTATACAAATTTTTGGTTTTTGTTTTGTTTTTTTCTTAATAGTAAAGTGGTTTGAAACACCAAGACACTTGGTACCGTGTTTAAATGGTGCCTGATTCTGTTTCTCTTGCTCTTTTTCTGGAGTTAAAAGAGTTATTTCAGCATCTTTGTTGTGCCTCTAGCCTATATTAACATAGGGTTTGAAGTTACCCAGGGCCAGTGTATTTCGTAGTAGTCTTCTCTGAGCCCAAGTCAAAACTAAGTTTTAACAATTAGCTGTGAAAACATTCCTCTGAGCTTGGGAATGCAATAGCCTTATTACCTCATCATGAAAATTTCTAGCTTAGTTAATTTAAATATTGTTTCTTAGTTTCTGGGTCAATTAAATTTAAATGATGTATTTTATGCTTCGTGACCAATTAAATTAATAGGTTATTACAAAAAATATTATCATCTTTTTTGATTAAAGAGCTGTGAGTACAGTATATTTTATAAGCAATTTTCATTAGTTCAAAACTGTTCCTTTAGGCTAGATTAAGCAGCTATTCATTGCTAGAGCCTTGAGACCTGATTCCAAGGTGTTCGGCGCATTCACAGCGCGCTCTTACTTAGAACTAAAGCCAATTGAACCTACTTAGCAATAGCGTATGCCTTTCACCCTTGATGATTATGGAGCTTATAGCTCTCCGAAACAATACACCTGTCAGTTCCCATCAGCTACAGCAATCCAAGCAGAAGGCAGAGGCCCACAGAAAGCAGGAGGTTTTATTGTTTTAGGTCCAATTTTTTTTCTTATTGTTCTCCCAAACCCACTGAAAGGTTTGACTGAGTTGGGTGTCTGCAGCCAGAGGTGATCAGGGGGGTAAAGAAATAATTGATAACTGTTATTGATTATGCATATATTTTTAATGTGTCTAAAAATGTGAGTTTGATTTAGCAATCATACTTAGTAATCCTATCAATTTCGGCTTCATATGAGGCCTTTGTTCAGCGATGTATGTCCTTTCTGGATTGCATCTCTTTGAATGGCACAAATATTTGGGACAGATTCCAAGAGATCAGGCTCAAGAGCTAAATAAATAGCTGTTGATAAACCTTGACACCTATTTAACCCATCGCTCCTCCCAAGTCCCTGGTTAGCTGCTGCAGATTCTCTGCCTTGTGTTCCCAGTGTGCTTTTACAAGTGGGAAAGCAAAGGCAGGTGGCTGGAGTAAGGCTATGGGGAATGGAGCCACCTGAGTGCCCTCTGTGTGGCATTAGCCATCTTCAGGCTGGCGCCGCCTCTGGCATGCTTCCAGATCAGGAGCATCTCCATTGCATACATTCCTAACCATAAAAGCAGAAAGCTGTTTTATCTCCAAAAACTCTGTTTTTGGAAGGGGGAGGATGTTCTCGGGGGTTCTTTTTGACCTGGGGGCCATTCCTGTTGCCGTCACTGTGAGTCCGCACACTGACTCCCAACTCCACAGAGCCAACGGCGCTCGCGCGCCCGCGACTCTGCTTCCCGCCTGGGGCTGGAGCCCGGCCTCCCCGTGCCTGAGCAGAGCAGCTTCACGGCCCGATGCCACAGCCAGTGCCCACCACTCACCGCCGCCTCTTTCTCTCCCTTTGCAGGGCTGCAAAGTATGCCAGGGGATTATGTGTCTCGGGGTAGTCCAATGGGTATGAATATGGGACAGCCAAGCTATACGCCGCCCCAGATGCCCCCCCATCCTGCTCAGCTGCGTCATGGCCCCCCCATGCATACCTACATTCCTGGACACCCTCACCACCCAGCGATGATGATGCATGGAGGACCACCCCACCCTGGAATGCCCATGTCAGCATCAAGCCCCACAATGCTTCATACCGGCGAGCCAGCAGTGAGCGGACAAGTGATGGACATTCATGCTCAGTAGCTTAAGGGAAATACACGTTGTCTGCAGCGATGGTAGATTTCAAACATTGTCTTTCTGCAATGACTATGGAGTTCTTGGCGTCAGCTTTGGACCAAGGGACGTTCCAATTCTTCACAGGGACCCTGAAAAGCAGGAAAACACCAACTGAAGTCAACTTCTGGGGACATGCTGAATACCTATATAAGACATTAAGAAAACAAAGAGTGAAATATTGTAAAATGCTATTATACTGTTATCCATATTACGTTGTTTCTTATAGATTTTTTAAAAAAAATGTGAAATTTTTCCACACTATGTGTGTTGTTTCCATAGCTCTTCACTTCCTCCAGAAGCCTCCTTACATTAAAAAAGAAGCCTTACACTTATCCTGCAAATGACAGAAAGGGCTTATTTGCAGGATTTTTAGAGCATTAAAATAACTATGTCAGGCAGAAGAATCTTTCTTCTATCCTAGGATTTCAGCCATGCGCACTCTCTCTCTCCCCCCTCCCTCTCCTCCTCTGTCCGTCTTTCTTCCCTTTCTCTGCCTTTCTCCCCATCTCTCTCCCTCTCTCTCTTTCTAGCCTGGGGCGTGAATTTGCATGTCTA